AACAAACCGAAAACACACTCTCCACACACGCACTTTGTCCGACCGTCGTTGCCCCGCCCGCCGTGCGACGCGGCCCGCCTCACTGCCCCGTGCCGCCCCGCTGCGCAGTTTTCCTTGCGCGCAGCACACGTGTGTCCAGTCCACTTGTGCGCCCACACACCACACGCCACCCCTCACCGGTGTCGCCTGCCTGGCTGGCTCGCACAGCAGCAGCGTCGCCCCCCACCCCATCAACAGCCATGTGCCCCCGGTCCTTCCGTTTTCCAGTTAGTGTATGCCTCCCTCGAGGCAGCGGCGGCACTAGGCCGCCCTGCCCCCTCGTTCCCCAAGCCCCCCAGCTTGCATGCTGGCCCCTCTCCACAGGCGCTCCGCTCCGCCTGCCACGTCAGCGCCCCGCTGCCAACCCCCTCGTGCTGCTAGTCACGACGATCTCGCATCTTATCTATACTCTCCCCTACCCCACCACACTGCGGCGGCGGTTCCCCTCTACCCCACCAAAAGAAAAAAACGTACCCTTGCATACTCTAACGATTATTCGTCGCTTGCACCCGGCGCACGCACCGCCGCCGCCCCTACCGCCCCTATACCCGCGCTCCGCCGCACACCTCCCTCTCCCCCCCTTTCATTCTCTCTCTCTCTCCGTCCCCCTGTCCCCAATGAGTACACCTTTAGCGCCGGTATCCCACCGTTACGGTATACGTACACACCCATCCTGCCTGCACTTGCTTGCGGGTCCCCGCACCGTCCCCGGGCCCAAGCCACACCAAGCTACCTGTTGCTCTTGGCCCCCCGTCCCACACTGGTCCCAAGTCCCCCCGGTCTTCTTTCCTTAGCGCCCCCCAAGTCTTTTGCCCGCCGCCCCCAGGCAGCCGCCCCCCCGGGCAGCTGCGCGCGCGCGCCGCCCTCTGCCGCACTACCTTCCGCCCCGCCTCCGGTGCAGTTCATTCCTGGCCCGAGGGCCGGACAGATTTCATTCCCGCCGCACCCGCGCTGGCCACCACACCCCCCTCTGCGGCTGCGCTCATTGACACTGCCAACCCACATTGCTACTGGCCGCCTCCCCTTGCCATCCCCCTCCCCGCACAAATCCTTTTGTCCTGCTGCCTTTTTTGTGACTTGGGGGCGGGGCCCGCCTGCC